TTTTTTTGTAACGAGGACCATTTCTCAATTTATGTGTGTCGCTCCAACTGTGACGAATGCCCCAGGGACAGGCCCGTGGCTACAAGGGCGTGTGCCGGATTTTTTTTGAGAGCCCTTTTTCTGAAGTTGGTGCCCAAAACCCGTAGCATAACGCACGTGCGTTGTATACGAATACAACGCATGTCGTGCGTTGTATTCATATACAACACACGTGCGTTTTGTTCGGGGGAAGACTGTAGCTGTGTTCGTCGCTGTCTAATTAATTAAAAACCTGGATACAGTTAGATATAACTTAGATTTGATTGTGTGATGATGTAATGATGTGAAGTCTGCCCGTGATCGATTGATTAATCAGGAGCTGTTGATTAATCAGGAGCACCGATTAGTAACTTCATCCGTACTAATTTCTTCGATTGACTTCGGATCGATTTTTCAAAATGATCTGTTGATTAATCAGAAGCACCGATTAGTTTTCAAATTAATCCTAGCGTAATGTTTTCAGATTAATTTCTTAATTGTCGATTGCTTCCAATCAACTAGTGTAATTGCCAAATTCTGAATTCGATGGATCAATTCCAATGATGAATTCTGTAGTTTGTTAACTTTGTTTCCAAATTCAAAATTCCTCATTGCCTAAAAATTCTATATTTTTTTAATCTGAATCCCTGATTTGTAAATCCTGATTTCCAAATTCTGATTTCGACATCTGCAACCAAACTCTGCAGTAGGTTTTTTTCTGAAGGCAATTTTCTGATGTTTTGATTTGATTCCATCGGAATTTGCGTAATTGGCTTCTGAAAGCAACATCTGCAACCAAACTCTGCAGTAATTTGCGTAATTGTTGACGCCAAATTTTCGATATTGTTTTGTGCACGGGGGTGTTGGACTCCGGTTCTGTAATCTGCTTGGAAGGCAGCGTAAGAGTGGTGGGCAGAGACAGATTAGGGGGTTTATCGCCTGTGACGAGCTTAGGTCATTCCTTAAGGGTGGTTTGGGGGAGGGGGGGGGCACTGTCCGGCAGGGGCTTTGCAAGGAGGGAGGTTAAGTCCTGGAGTGGGTAGGAGCGGATTTGTGGGGTAGTTCTATTCTGGGGCTGGGAGTGGTAGGCGGGGTCTGTGTACCAATCCCAGAGTATGCAGATAGGGATAAGGGGACGGTGGGGACATGCTTCAGGAGGGAACTGTTTGCGCCTGAGGAAAACTGGGATAGGGTCCCACGCTGGAGTAGAATAGGTGGTGGCCGGGGCAGCGCAGGGCCAAGGGGAGGGGAATAGGGAGGGAGGGGATACCCTTTTTTTTTGTATTCCTGTGAAACGGGTCTCCAGGTGTCCTTCTTAATCTCCTCTGAATAAGCTCAGTTGTCTTCAGGTGACTTCTAGTTGTTTCTCATAAGCACTCCCAGTGGTCTTAAGCTCAATCGTCTTCAGCTCACCGGAGGCGCTCTGATATTGGTGCTCAGTGACATGAGGTTTTCCGATTCCAGAATGGCACTGGCTGGTGCTGGGGTGTTGGGGTGTTGCCCTGTAACCTGCTGATGGAGGGGGCATGGGGCATGGTAGAGAGATCTGGGGATGTTTTGGGGTGGGCGTCCTCAGGGACAACTGGGGTTTGCTGTGGGGCCAAAGCTGACCGTAGCTGGGGTGAGTCGTGTTGCCCTGTAACTTGGCAGGTTGGGGGCATGATGTCTGGAAGAGCTCGGCAGAGAGCAGGATGGTGTTGGAGAACTTCTTATTGGTCTGCTCAGTTTTGAAACTCCGCAGTTGTCCGATGATCTCATGTACTATTCGCAGCCGCCCTGAGTCCTGCTGTCCCCAGTTCTAAGAGTACTTCAGGGTTCTGAGGGGTTCTAGCAGTCTACTCAAGGCGGTTCCAAGGCTTTTTTGTTCAGAGATCTGCGGCTGTCCAATGCCAGAACGATGCTGGGCCTGCCGGGGCGTTGCGCTGTTACCTTGCCGACTGGCAAGGCGTGAGGCCTGGTAGAGAGATCTGGGGACGCTTTCGGATGGGCATTCCAAGGGACAACCGGGGTTGCTGTCGAGACGACGCTGGCCGGAGCTCGGGTGAGTCGTGTTGCCCTGTAACTTAGCAGGCTGGGGGTGTGAGGCCTGGAAGAGCTCGGCAAGGATGAAATAGTTCTGGAGGGGTTTTGTCCGGTCTGTTAGATAACCCTTGGGTTTGGGGGTAAATGGATGATGTCTGAGGACTCCTGCGGGATTCAGAATGATATGCGTTTCTGTGATTGGTAGCTGAACTGAAGGCGGGGCGACCCCGGTGGCGTTTGGTGGCGTGTCTGATGCCATACTGATGCTGTCATGGCTTAGTTTACAGAGAGCCGATGCCAGAACGACGCTGGCCTGAGCTGGGGTTTGGCCGCGCTGCCTGTAACCCGAGTCAAGCTAGGGACTCTGCAGAGAATAGGGTGGGTGATACGAGCATCCCCTCCTACTAGGTCTGCTTGGTCACTCCATCTATTGGTGGGGAGCTGCACCTGTTGGAAACCGGGTCCGGTGTCCCTTAATTACATATGAATTTCGTGAATTGTCGAGGGAGGAA